AATCGGAGTCTCCACAAAAGATTGTCTTGTGATAAATTGAATTTGTCTGGACACATGATAATCTATTCATTGACAACCCAGTTTATTAGCACATAGTTCTCAGTAACCAGCAAGTGAACGTTCCTATACTTTTAGAAGAAGTACTTCTGATGAGTGAGCATTGCTACTTCCCTCTGATTACATAATGACTGTACTGTAGGTTTCAAATACATTGTAACCAGCAGGCTGTTTTCTACATGGAAGGGCAGGAATGTGAGATTGCAATGGCTTTCTGTTTTTACCCTGCATACACTGGTGTTTTACTCAAGGTGACTGAGCTCAGCATTTTAATATTTAATCTTAAACACACACACACACATGCTGCTTACATACCCAGTGCCACTGCTCACCAGGCTAAGTGAATGAGCATTGTAATTCATCTAACCATGTCAAAGTGCTGATTTTATTTATGACTTTGCAAAAAACAATGTCAGAGTCAATGTATCTCTAGACCCTTGTTATTGGGGCATAAGGTAATACTGCTTTGCCCCAGTAAAATAGAACTGATAAACCCTTCCCGATTACCATAAACTAACCTGAGAAGAATTTTCCCAGGTAATATTTCAGCTATTATATCAGCTGATCAGAACTAGCAAAATTCACAAATGAATCACTCTTCTGATATAATCTTTCAGATGGGTTTGTTAAAAAAAGGTCTAGAATTGTTCATGATTCAGTTTGACTCATTCAGACAGTTCACTCACTCTGAATCGCTTGTAGCGGTTTCTCACACAGTAACGGGATAGTTTGTACGAAAAAAACAAAAAGGTAGATATTTACCTACAGTCCACTGTGGGAAACAAACTTGCTAATCATTTTCCAGTGATGAACCACTCTGTACTACAGTGAAATCAATTTATATTTCCATAACTAGAGCCCTGAACATGAAATGTGAAAGAAAAATTTGATATTGTGGCCACAAATTAAGAATCAAGTCCCACATTTTATTAATGTTTTATTGACATTTTATTAGTTACATCATGGCCATGTTGTACTGTTGGGCCCTTTTCACATTTCTAGGGTTCACAGAAGTCGTCGTATTTAGGTAAACTTCAATAGTGGTAAATGCAAACTACAACCTATTTTTTTTTTCTCTAATAGCAAAATTAAAAAATAATCCATTACAACACTTTTCCAAAGAGGAAAAAATATCGAGAGATTGATTATGATGCTAAGAAGAGAGAAATATGTCAAATTTGACGTCACTCTCCCTTGGCGGTTGTACTGGAAACACTCGCACAGCAACTAGTTTTATGAAATTTCATTCAAAGGTAATTTAACACAAAGTATAGTGTTACATTCTTTTTTTTTATTTATCATGTTAATAACTTTTTATTAACAGTTTGTGAAAAGTGTCAACTCATTCTCTCAGTTTAATTTAATTAAATTGTGGCTACAATTGAACAAAAATGAAGGACAAAATTAAAATGTTGTGGGAATGAATTCTTAATTGCTGGCCACAATATCTTTTCTCTCTCTCGCTCCCTTCTGCATGTCATGTGCGTGGAAAATATGGGGCCTTTGATAAGTAAACACTCCTGGTGTCAAGTAAACATGTCTGTATACATATCTCCGCCTAAAGCTTGCTATTTAACCTTATAGCAACTGCCTACTATCTATAATGCCTACAAAAAGGAGTGTAACATCAAACACAATCAGCTTGGATCGCTGTGCTGTTCAGGGGAAAATGAGCTCTGCTAAGCACCCGGCTTCTGGTTCCTCCTTCCTCTGTTTAATGGTCTAGAATGATTAAGTGTCAGGGTATAAAATTCTCTCTCTCCTAATGGCTGAGGGGAGAAGGAAGAGAGGAAGGGGGTTGGGCGACACGACAAAGACACATCTTCCCCCATAGAGACTCCATGCTGGGGCTGTCACCAGCTCACACACACACACACACGCAGAACCCCCACTTGTGCCTTTCCTCACCTCTCAAACATGCATTTGGGTGGGTCTGTTACAAAAGTGTGCAGCAGAGCTTGGATAGACAGCAGGCCAGGATAGACTGCAATCTATATATGGGGGGGGCAATAGAGGGGAAAGGGTAAGGAGGCAGACCCAGCCCTCTCGGTGGCCATTAAGCTAACTCGTGGATCAATACTGGTTGTAAGTATGACTGAGCTCAGGCTGAAAGCCATCTGCATACCCGCATATAATGACAGCCTTAAAAAGCAGCTGCACAGATGGGCAGAGTATTGCCAGGCCATGAATCACAAAGGGAGTGAGAGAATAAGAGAGGAGTAGTAAAAACAATGGGAATCCCCCTTGGAGTTTTTCAGTTTTTTTAACACTTTAACACTCGCCTTTCAAGGATTGAAATCGGTAGTAGAAAGAAGTCAGTTCATTTGGGTGAGACAATCAGTCATTTTCTTCACTGTGTAGTGCTGCAAAAGCGGCGTGACCTGGACCGCAGTCAACCGTTGACTTTCTGTAAGGATAACAGGCCTTTTTGTGGTCATGTGATATGGATTTATTAAGAAACCACACTTTTTTTTTGTCAACTTCAGGATGCTGACTTTTGTTTGTTGATTGGATAGAGACAGATCTGAATGGGAGTTGCAGCTGATTGTAAGAAAGGGGTGGAGTTTAAACGACTGGAGTAAATGATTGGAGAACTGCTTCATATGTCACCAGAGTGAAGTCTGTCATTTTACCAGAAAATTGCGTTATGAAATTTTAATTAAAAATTACAAAATAAAAAAATTTATGAAATAAAACACAAATAAATAATTCAAAATAAGATGCATTTCTAAAATAGAATTGAATAGGGTGAATTTCTATTATATGCCGACTTCATATAATGTTTAAATAACATAAAACCTTTAATACATGTCCCAGATTGTATCTATACCAACTTTTTTAATACAAGGAAGGGGATTTTATTTTAAGAGCAGCAAAAGTGAAAGATCAAATGTCCTCGTGTGTAGAAAGGAACAGGAAAGCACGTCGATTTTTGTGCCAAGGCACCAGTATAGAACACATAGTGCTGGTGTATCCAGGCACTGCAGCTGCGGCTGCACAAATATGCACTGTGTAGAGAGCCTTTAAATCAAGATGCAAGCAGGGCCTCTCATCTGTTGTGCATGAAAGCTAAGAAAAAGAGAGGAAGAATATGGGAGGAAGGGAGCGAGAGAGAGAGAGAAGGAAGGAAACTTGTTCCCCAAGCACAGTAAGATGGGATGAGGAAACTGGATACCTTGCATAGAAAATTCCTCACACTGGATCGCTTCCGTTAAATCTGTAAACCAGAGATTTCTTCTTGATGACAAACTATAAGAGGCATATAAACCATATAGTGCAAGATATCAAGATAATTTTTCACTTTTAATTTTTTTTTAGAAAACTAAAAAAAAAGTTGCATATTTGTAAACATGTCAGTGTTGTGTGTATAAAGTTGACATTCTTCAAAAGATGGAATGAGGAAACTGGATACCTTGCATAGAAAATTCCTCACACTGGATCGCTTCCGTTAAATCTGTAAACCAGAGATTTCTTCTTGATGACAAACTATAAGAGGCATATAAACCATATAGTGCAAGATATCAAGATAATTTTTCACTTTTAATTTTTTTTTAGAAAACTAAAAAAAAGTTGCATATTTGTAAACATGTCAGTGTTGTGTGTATAAAGTTGACATTCTTCAAATCTTCTTTTTTGTTCCACAAAAGTCAAACAGTTTTGGAATGACAAGAGGGTGAGTAAATTATGAAAGGATTTTAATTTTTAGGGTACTACCCCTTTTAAATGTGTAACACTGCTGTATAATATTAGTTTATATAGTATTTTTCAGAAAGTGGTACAAAATACATTCTGTTCATTCTGATTTCACAAAGAGAACAAGTTTAACAGTGACTCTGAAAAACACGGAAGCCAGTGAGTTCATTCACCCATCCTGCCCCCACCCCCCTCAGCTTTAGAGAACATTCCTTTCATAAATCTGTAAGCCTGTGTGTGTGTGTTTTTTTTTAAGAAACCCGAGAATTCGTGCTTGGTATGTGGAGGAGCTCATTATGGTGCCTGTGGAGGGCACTTGGGAACGTTCAGATATTTCCAGCATCATCTCTCGCAAAGCCTTTCTCATTCTAGCCTCTGTTCTCCTCTCATGCAGACACTCACACACAGTGGTACAAAAGTACCCTGTAATCAGTTCTGTGCATTCACACTTAAGTGAGACAGCCTCTCTTTTCTTTTAGAGAGTAGGTGAGAGTAGCACATTTGCAGTACCTATTTTTTGTGAGATTATTAAGATGTGTTTCTAATTTGTCCATGTGTTTTCCTTTCTATGTGGGAGGTTATGTACGTGTATATGTATGTGTAAAACTGTATGAAGGCATTATCTTTTTTTGTCATGGCCGCTCTCACAGAGCTCCTCCTTTTAAGCAAGAGACGTTCCCCAGTCTTGTTCCCCCACTGCAGTCTGCTGCATTGTACAGCATCACCCACTTGTTATCCTGAAACCTCTTCCCCCTGTGAAGAATGAAAAATGATTTCCCCTGTTCTACCACAACCTGCTTGAGTTAAGCCTTTGAACATACATTTGTATTCATGGCCATGTTCCATGTTACTCAAAACAACACGTGTCTGATGCCCAGCCCCACAGTACACATTTACAAAGTCAATGACTCTTGGGACATTGTTGGAATGGTGACCTGCCAGTCAGATCTCTACTACGGCACAAAATGGCTGAAAACATGCCTTGAATGTAACTGTTGCAGCCGACTACAGTATGCTACTCCTATATTAATTAAGAGTCAACACTGCACATGCTGAGCACATGCTTTTGGAACAAAATGGGTCTGCTCTATGCAGGAGATTGCATCATACATTTATTTGAAATACTCTTTTAAGTATTACTCGTTTAAGTGAACAAAGAACATATGCATCTATTCAGCACAACATTCACAAAAATGCAAAAAAGAAAAAGAACCATTTTTAAGGTATTACAGAGTGTTTTATTTTCTAAGCCAAGCCATTAAGTTAAAATGAACATTCCCCACTGATTCTCCCAACATGAAAAGTTCAAAATGCTTCATCCTCAAATCTCCGTATTACATGGTGACAGAAATGTGGTCTAAATTAGATTATATACTATTAAATGCTAATCCAATAAACCATTTCAGTATGGATCAGTCTCGCACACAAAAGTTGATTCTGTTCATTCAATTCATTTTTACTATTGTTACTGTCCAGCATTTCTGTTCTGCCATCTCAATAATTAAAAATTCTGCTCATGTCTAATCATCATTCCTCTGGCTTACATATTCAACCAGGCCTGTAAGCTCACTCTCTGCAATGACAGCAGGACATCGGCCACAAAGACTTCAAAGACCATTCGCTCTCTTTCTCTCTCGCTCTCTCATTCTTTCCCTCCCATTTCCTTTTAGGCTTTTACCCTCACTGTTTCATTCTTCGTTTATCGCACTCTTAGCTCTTGGGTGGTTGTATTTCATTTTGGTTAACCAGAAATTCCTTTGCCTGAGAGAACACAACAGGCATTTTTCACACTTATTTTCAGAAAGCCTGTGTTGTCAGACGATTGTTTCATTTGTTTGTTTGCATCAATATGGGATTCACATTTAAGGTTTGTTTCTCAGATTAAGTCGACAGCTCAGCCGACTCACTGTGGCACTTCTACCACGTCGCCAATCGGAGCTGAAGCCTGAAAGTCAGCAGCCAAACTCAAGTCCTTTTTCAGTTCACAGTCACTTAGCTCTTGAGGGGGTTCTTTGTCCTTCACACCATTTACACATGCCTCAACCGGGGACTCAAGGACATCTGCAGGGGCTACGTCTGGTGCCTGCACATGGCATTCCCCGTTTACCTCAGGGGGAGCCGACACAGATTCCTCTGCTGAGCCAGCACTCTCGCAGTCTCCATTATTCAGCTTCAGATCTGTTACAGTCGAGGCAGGTTCCTCAAGACAGAGCTCATTGGTTGAGGTTGATTCTAAGATGACGATTGCAGGAATGGACTCCTCTGCACTCTTTTGTTCTGCCACAGGTTCGGGTTGTGTTGGCTCTGGGGATGGCTCAGGATTTGCTTGTGTTAGTGTAACCTCTGGGGGTGCAGCAGTTTCAGATTCAGGCTCTGTGATTGATGTGGGTTCCTCTGGGGAAGGCACAGCCATCTCGACCTCTGCTACACTCAATGCTTCGGAAACAGGTTCAGGCACTGGGGCAGACTCTGCGACTGGTTCTAGAGCTGCTGCCTCAGTAACAGTCTCTGATTCTGGCCTGACATCGTTGGTTTCTGTAATTTCACAGGGCAATTGATTGGTATTTGCAACCTCCTCAACCACTTTCTCTACCACCTCCTCTGTGACAGGTTCCACTGGTGAGGCTTCAAGTTTAGGCGACGAGACAGGCTCTTCTAGCACAGGTGCAGGTTCCTCGAGTGCAGCTGCACAATCCTCAGCCTCTGGGGCAGTTGCATGCTCCTCAGGTATAGTTGCTGGTTTCTCAGATAATGTTACAGGTTCCTCTGTTACTGGTGTCTCTGGTGCAGTGGCTGGTTCTTTTGTTGCAGCTGTAGGTTTCTCTGTCACTGGTGCCTCTGGTGGAGCTGCTGGTTCCTGAGGTGCAGCTTCAGGTTCCTCTGCTGCAGGTGCAGCTTCAGGTTCCTTTATCACTGGTTCCTCAGGTGCAGCTGCAGGTTCCTTTGTCACTGGTTCCTCAGGTGCAGCTGCAGGTTCCTTTGTCACTGGTTCCTCAAATGCAGCTGAAGGGTCCTCTGCTGCTGATGCTTCTGGTGCATCTGCAGGTTCCTTGGGTGCAGATACCTCTGGTGCCACTGCTGGTGTTTCTACTGCAGCTGCTGGTACTTCTGCTGCTGGTGCCTCTTGTGTAGCAGCTGGTGCCTCTACTGCTGTTGCCTCTGATGCAGATGCTGGTACCTCAGCTGCTTGTGACTCTGGTACATCTGCTGGTTTCTCTGGAGCACTTTCTGGTTCCTTAGATGCAGCAGTAGATGCCTCTGTTGTAGCCACTGGCTTTTCTGGAGCAGCATCATCCTTCTTCACCTCTGCTTGTGCTGCTGAAAGAGAGGTGGGCTTCTCAGCTGGTGCTTCAGACTCCACCACTGGCGCTGCTGCACTTACCGTAGCAGCCTCCTGCGGTGCAGCCTCCAACTCAGTCACAGGGGTCTCTGGCTTCTTCTCAGCTGGTTCAACTGCTGCCACAGCACTCTCCTCTTTCTTCTCTTTAGGGTCACTGACATCATATCCCTTCTTCCGTTTGCTTAGCTTGCCTCCCATGTTCTGTGGGAACAGAAGAACATCTTATGTAAGCTACAAACATCACTGCATTTTAATATATTTATATTTATGCATTTGTCAGATGCTTTTATCCAAAGCAAGATCCATTGCATTCCTTCATTATACATTTTTATCAGTTCATAAATTCCCTGGGAATCAAACACATGACTTTGACATTTCTAGTGCCATACTCAACTGTTTGAGCGACATGCCTGTGCAAAAATTTAGTCTAAAACTCCATTGGAAAATAACCAATATTTCTTAGCACCTCATTATGGATATGAAATTGTAAAATGTAAAAGTGGTCACATAGCCCACCCTATTTCTCCATTTAAAGGGCATTCAACCCAATGCAATCTCTGCCAAGGACTTTGAATGCAATCCAACTTTGTTAAGGAGGAGGACGTGGCTTAAGGACAAATGGTGACTGGATGGGAATGTCACTTACGTTTTTGTAAACTTGTAAAGATATCATTCAAGAACCCAGTTTTACAGTGTGAAGGCAGCAGGCACTGATTGTATATAATGGGGTAGAACGATTTGGAAGCGAAACATAGCACTTTTAACATGTGAATCCTCAGAAAATTAGACAAAACCAACAAAACCAAGTTAACAGGTCTAGTTATGTCAAGTATTGAATTATGTCTGCATTTTTTTTATTCTATCAATCTGTATACAGTTTTACTAAAATACATTAAAAAGTCGCATAAAACTCATTCACTTCTCTTAGCATTTTTTCATGGCTGGTTCTGGTTGGTAAAGCAGCTTGGTTTGGGGATGTGTAAAGATAAGTTTCAGGGGAAAGACTGATTAGATAACATGAACTGAATCACATTTGGTCACATCTGTCAATGCTAATGATGTTACTTAAATCATTATTTTTAAACTCTAATGAAAGGTTTTATTAGACAACTTTTCCTTTTACCGAAAAAACATTCTTGTAAATGGCAATTTGTTAATTGGTACTGGTTTCAGATACATATGGAATTATGGATGTGAGAGGTAGATTAAATGTTTTTTCTTGCCACTGATATGACACCATTTGCAACCTTTCAAAGACCTGCAATTATTGCAGCTCAATTGGATAATATCCTTTAAGCTGCAGCATGGTGGGGTTACAATAGGAGCTGTCCATAGTGCTGCACTGGGGCAAACAAAGACCGGATACGCAGTCATGCCCCAGTCCAACCTGCAGATGGGTCCCACTGCTGAGATGTGCTGCCTATGTCAGCGCTCACTAAAGACAGTTTTTATTACAGCCTCTCACAGCGCTCTGTGCCAGTACACTTCACAGCCTCCATTACTCCTGCAAATCTTGCTTGATGAAGTTACTCATTAATATAATGATGTAAAGAAATTTGCTTAATGATATTCTGAAAGTTATGTCCTTGAAGACTAGTGAAATACCCAGAGCAAATATGGCAAACCAAGTAACCTATCCCATGTCTGGCTGTAGGTTACAATATATAAGATGCATAAGAAAAAAATGTGGTGGAAATATTTCATAAAAACACAAATATTAGTTTGCATTTTAATATATTTACATATTTCCAGAGTACACGCACACAAAATTTTATATAGTTTTAAAGATACATACCCCCACCCCATCACCACCACCCAAGCCCCCACCCCCTTCATATCGACCGGCTCCTCCTTACGTTTTAATAAGAATTTAATAAGAGCAAATCAATCCTTCCTATTTCCTTAAAACCATACTTTCAATAGAAAAGCACCAGTAAAGGGAACTCGAAATACAAAAGGGGTTAAATCTTTAACTGAGTAAGAGCTACCTGTAACCCACTGCTTCATTTTGAAATATAAAATAATAAAACAAAAGCTTCTATATATGACTTATTTGTACGTTTACTCACATTTTAACCTCCCAATCTTATAGGACACAAGTCACACGTTCCCGTAATAACATTAAGCTTAGAAAGATTATAAATGTGACATTTTTAAAGTGTCATTCAGACATTTCTAGGAAATCGACCTTTTTTCACGTTTAGTTATTGAGTAACATAGATATGGGATGCTTATGTTGTACCTCTTTTAGTTTGTACGAGTGACATGAAAAATACGAGAACAAAGAACGGCTCGTGCTGTCTGCGTTCAACTATATCTCTCCAGCCCCAGTACAACGCTTTGTCTTGTAAGTGATTTTTACCCGTTATTCAGAGTCACTGCAAACATTTTACTGACCTGCTTCTGTGAAAATCCGTGCGTAAGAGTGCGTTGAAGGTACTTTCCTTTCTGCTGTAGTAGTGAATGTGATTCAGCTCGAGCCAGTCCTACTCTCTCCCCGAGGTCCAATCTGCGACTGGGCGTTTTTTCTCTTTTCACCCCTCCTGTTAAACCCACGGTTTGTGAGACATCTGTCGTTATCACAGCCTCTCCTGCCCACTATCCATATACCCTCCCTCTCCTCCTCACGTTGGGGGTGCATATTTTACTAGATTAGATGGGCTTTATAATGGGTTTTGGGAATAATGCCCCCTTTTCTTTCACTTTTTTGAAGTGATCTCTATAGCAACTGTATTCCTTTTGACTTGATGTTGGTGGATTTGCCTTTTTTCCACCTGCCTGACTGGTTTTAGCATGCATTTCTCTTTATGTGTGTGTAAGGACAGGGGTTAAAGCAATTCTCCACCCCCATGGCTGAAGGAGAGGAGAATGAAGAGGGCCTTCGAATTCGGTTGCACAATATTGTTTTAACAGTGTAAAGTGTCCATGCACCAATCCAGTCTTAAGCAGATATTCTGTTGAAGGAAGAACAGCTAAATGTAACCATAGCTTAAACAGAAAGTGAAAGATATTTCATTAATTTGTTCTTATCTTGGCAATGCTGAATGACTCAGATTCTTTGAGTGTCTGCAAACCACCAGAATAATGTTTCTGAATCATATATGTGCCGCAGGTCAAGAAAGATGTAAGAGTCATGAGGTCATTCCTAATATAACATTCCACTTAAAGTGGTCTGACATGGCACCCTTGTGAAATTTGGCTACTTGCTGTTAATAGTACAAGCAGAGGTGCCATGAGATTTTACTAGACCTGTTTCATATGAGCTCTATACACTCCACAACATTAACTCTTCTTTTTCATCTTTTATAATAGGCTTCAGATTCAAGAAGTACTCACCGTTCTAAAGGATGGTTCTCTAATATAATAACTTCGTATCTTATGTGCCCTCCAGCCATTTAATATGTTGAATATGTCTTTACAAAGACAGGTAGTCACTATTAACCTGCTGGGTTACTTTTGGCCTCCTATTTAATCAGACGCAGAAATCAGAATATTTTAAATAGCTAAATACAGTAAGTAGTTGTAATAGACATTATTGTCTATTACTTACTAAGTGAGTTTTAACATTAACTTTCAACTTTTAACATGAACCTTTGAAGAGCAATCAAGTACATTAGATATCATTATTATGCAGGAAAAAAAAGAATATTGGATATGCTGTTGTGCACAAGTGTACAATAAAGGATGGTCTCACCCTGGGGCAAAGCAGGCCAGCTGTGTGGATTATTATAAGTCAATCCTTATGTAGACAAGCCAATTACATATATATATATATATATATATTTTTTTTTTTTCCCATCACAGGCTCATGATTAAATCTCACTGAGGGAAGGAATGAACCAGCGCACCCTTTCATCACTGCTAGACACATGGAATGTGATGAAACATGGTCGTGAGAAACTAGTTTCCTCTCCGTAGTTCTGCATGTTTTACAGCACAGCTTGCATTTTTGTTGTACTAAATGTCAAGATTAGAAATCAACCTAACACAGGACTTTACTGTCAGATACTTGAAATATGAGAGCTTGTGGTCTCATGTGAAAAATGTAAATACATGTTTTATTTCTTGACAGTTTTAATGATCTACATTCATGTCTAAAAATTGTGCGTAATGTTTAGATTTCGGTCGCACAGCTGGTATGTTGGTAATTTGTTCAAATGCCCAGCTATTCTGGGCAGAGAGTTCAAGGTTACAGAGTTCCCAGACTCTGTGTGCTGAAAGGTTTATGATCTGTGAGCTTTATGCCCCTGAGAATGTTTAGCAAGCATATCATATGTGTTTAATCATACGTCTCATGTCAATAAAACAACAACAAAAACGTTTGCTCAGGATGCAGCTTTCTTTGGGGGAGAAAAGAAGACAGCAGCCTCTAGTGTCTGAAGAATGATGGTGCAACAGCTCTTTGCATTTTAGACAAAGCCTGTGAACAAGAGGATAAGAATATTGATGAAAGACAGAATGACAAGAATAACATTTAAAAGCTAGATAAAACCTAAACTTGATGATCGGAGTTTAAAATAAGATTAACTGCTGTGATAAGAGGAGCTAAATTCAGGTTATTAGTTATAAGAATAGTTCATAAAAAAATGAAAATTTGCTGAAAATGTACTCACCCTCAGGCCATCGAAGATGTAGATGATTTTGTTTTTTTTCATCAGAATAGATTTAGAGAAAATTCAGCATTACGTCACTTGCTCACACGTGGATGCTCTGCAGTAAATGGGTGCCGTCAGAATGAGAGTGTGAAGTGAAAAGATGTGTACAGGTGCATCTCAATAAATTAGAATATAGTGGAAAAGTTCATTTATTTCAGTAATTCAACTCAAATTGTGAAATTTGTGTATTAAATAAATTCAATGCACACAGACTGAAGTAGTTTAAGTCTTTGGTTCTTTTAATTGTGATGATTTTGGCTCACATTTAACAAAAACCCACCAATTCACTATCTCAACAAATTAGAATATGGTGACATGCCAATCAGCTAATCAACTCAAAACACCTGCAAAGGTTTCCTGAGCCTTCAAAATGGCCTCTCAGTTTGGTTCACTAGGCTACACAATCATGGGGAAGACTGCTGATCAGACAGTTGTCCAGAAGACAATCATTGACACCCTTCACAAGGAGCCACAAACATTCATTGCCAAAGAAGCGGGCTGTTCACAGAGTGCTGTATCCAAGCATGTTAACAAAGTTGAGTGGAAGGAAAAAGTGTGAAAGAAAAAGATGCACAACCAACCGAGAGAACCGCAGCCTTATGAGGATTGTCAAGCAAAATCGATTCAAGAATTTGAGTGAACTTCACAAGGAATGGACTGAGGCTGGGGTCAAGGCATCAAGAGCCACCACACACAGACGTGTCAAGGAATTTGGCTACAGTTGTCGTATTCCTCTTGTTAAGCCACTCCTGAACCACAGACAACATCAGAGGCATCTTACCTGGGCTAAGGAGAAGAAGAACTGGACTGTTGCCCAGTGGTCCAAAGTCCTCTTTTCAGATGAGAGCAAGTTTTGTATTTCATTTGGAAACCAAGGTCCTAGAGTCTGGAGGAAGGGTGGAGAAGCTCATAGCCCAAGTTGCTTGAAGTCCAGTGTTAAGTTTCCACAGTCTGTGATGATTTGGGGTGCAATGTCATCTGCTGGTGTTGGTCCATTGTGTTTTTTGAAAACCAAAGTCACTGCACCCGTTTACCAAGAAATTTTGGAGCACTTCATGCTTCCTTCTGCTGACCAGCTTTTTGAAGATGCTGATTTCATTTTCCAGCAGGATTTGGCACCTGCCCACACTGCCAAAAGCACCAAAAGTTGGTTAAATGACCATGGTGTTGGTGTGCTTGACTGGCCAGCAAACTCACCAGACCTGAACCCCATAGAGAATCTATGGGGTATTGTCAAGAGGAAAATGAGAAACAAGAGACCAAAAAATGCAGATGAGCTGAAGGCCTTTGTGCTCTGAATTTATTTAATACACGAGTTTCACAATTTGAGATGAATTACTGAAATAAACGAACTTTTCCACGACATTCTAACTTATTGAGATGCACCTGTATTTGTAAGAAACAAATCTATCATTAGGATGTCTTAACTTTAAAGCGTCATTTTGGTCCATAATGCATAATAACGCTTTCTCCAGTGAAAAAGTCCATCCCCTGTTGTCCTCT